GGATAGAGATGTGGTCAGGCAGGTGAGCGAATTGGTAGGGGGAAGTATGGAGGGAGGTAGGTGGATAAAATGGGCGAGGGTACTTAGGCAGGTAGGTTAGCTGTTTGGGTGGATGAGGGGGCAGACAGGAAGCAGGTTAAGTGGTTAGGTGTTCAGTTGGGAGGGAATAGGTATAGGGCTTGTTATTTAAAATCCGGCCCCTCCCTCACCTTGACCCGGAAGCGGATGAGTGCTAGCCTCACGCAGTGGCTCAGGCAGGCAGGTGGCAGGAACCAGGCACGCGGTGGAGGGGTGCCCTTGTTGCCCACGTGTCCCACGATCAGTTGCGCTGTCTGCCGCTCGGCCTGGCACCGACGGCCCCACTCGGCCAGTCGGTCCTTCCCCAGGCCCCCAGGGAACATGACCACAAGCTCCAGGCCGTCGCCGCCGGGATAGGCACAAGCCTGGCACAGCGCTGACAAGTAGCCCAGCATGGCGTTCCATTGGCCGCCACACACCCAATCCGTCTGGTAGCCGCCATAGAGCCGCGGCAGCGCCGAGCCCGCGTCTACCAGCACCCGGGCCCCGGGCAGCGGAGGGGGCGGCGGCGGCAGCGGAGGGTGCAGCCCGGGCTGTGCCTGGCCGTGGTGGTGGAAGTGGTGAGCAGGGTGATGGTGCCGAGTCGGCCCCGCGCCCCCGGAGTAGGCACCCAAGGCAGCGGGCGGGAGCGGTGGCTGCAGAGGAGCGGAGCCCCTGGTGGCGCGTGCAGCCCCGGGCGCTAGGGCTGCCGTCGGTGGCAGCTGGCGGTGCAGGTGCTGCTGCTGCTGTTGCTGCTGCTGCTGGCGTGAGACGGTGCGCGCGAGTTTGAGGAGGTCCACGGGAACCACGGCCCCAGGACAGCGCTTCTCCAGGAACTCTTGGAAGCCCTGGACGCCCATGCTTGGTCGGTGGGCAAACGAGACGGCGACTGCGCGAGCAGGCTAGGCGACGATCTGGGCGCGAAGCTGGGGGCGGGCGCGTGCGCACTCCGCGGGGGGCGAGGGGGCGGGAAAAGGATTCCCGAGGGGAGGGGGACGGGGAGGGGAGGAGACCACAGATTAGATATGGGTGGAGAGGAGGGGTGAGGCTGACCAGACCCAGGAGAGGCTGGGAGGATAAAAGCGATGACAGGTCGTAGTCACTTCTCTTTTTTCTTCTCTTTCGCCGCTCTTCTTCACCGCTTCAAAGGTAGTGAAGCCTCTTCCTTCCACCTCCGGGAGCCATGTTGCCTCGTCTTTGATACACGCTTTCTTGCTGGAGGAGAGGGGCCGGGGCGGGACAGATGGGCATCCTGGGAGTTGTAGTCTTCTCCTGGATGGCCTCGGGTTGTGGTGCGGGAACAAAACTCCCATCCTTGCTGTTCCTAGGGTCACAAGAGGTGGGGCATGAAGATGTGTGTTTAGGATTTACACTTCATCTCCTTGCATCCCGCTGTGTTGCCTCAGGCTATCTACTGCCATTCTCAGGAAAAGGAGTTGTAGAAGGAGTGATGATGTGTCATGAGAAAGGAAATAGAGTGGATTGATTGAATTTGGCTAAAGTGAACTAAAGTTCCCTGGGAGGAAGAATTTTCCCTTCCATGGAGAAAATAAGATGCATAGCTTTTAATGAATGAAAAAAAAAAAACACGTGAAATACAAAAATAAAACCAGTACTATTTCTTTAGCAACCCACTTTTAACTGCTGAAACTCTTTGAAGAGTTGTTGCCCCAATTAGAAATGGTGACACACTGGCCCAAAAGCAATGCAGAAACAAAATGAAATTCTATATCCCTTGCCTTCAGGATCTCTTTGGTCAGGGAGATAAGCACCAACACAAATTAAAGTACAAGTTCTACCTTTTTGGTATTCTATGGGTAGGGCCTTTGTTTCCAAACTTCCTCAGTCGGTCTTGTGCGAGCTCTTCAAAATAGCTGCAAGGGCTCTAATTTCATCAGAATCTTTTGAAAAAAATCTAGTTTCAGCATGCGTCTCCAGCAAAACCCCTGTGGTAGCTGTTACTGGAAGGTGGCACACAACACAATAGTGCACAACCCAAGAGTGATCAAGATGAGTGAGAACAGTCTATTACGATGGAAAAGCAAAAAGGCTCCAAGTTCCATAAAAGAATTAATCAGAAAGACTAACTGAGGTTGAACAAGACAGAATGGTAAGAATAGTAGATATGGAGTCAGTGCACCTAGGTAACTCTTTTTTTTTTCCATTTTTTTCTTTTATTATTCATATGTGCATACAAGGCTTGGTTCATTTCTCCCCCCTGTCCCCGCCCAGTCCCTTACCACCCACTCTCTTAACCATATACTCTTTTGGGTATATCCCCAAGAGTGGTATTGCTGGATCAAATGGTAGATCGATGTCCAGCTTTTTAAGTAGCCTCCAAATTTTTTTCCAGAGTGGTTGTACTAGTCTACATTCCCACCAACAGTGTAAGAGGGTTCCTTTTTCCCCGCATCCTCGCCAACACCTGTTGTTGGGGGTGTTGCTGATGATGGCTATTCTAACAGGGGTGAGGTGGAATCTTAGCTTGGTTTTAATTTGCATTTCATTTATTGCTAGAGATGGTGAGCATTTTTTCATGTGTTTTCTGGCCATTTGAATTTCTTCTTTTGAGAAAGTTCTGTTTAGTTCACTTGCCATTTCTTTATTGGTTCATTAGTTTTGGGAGAATTTAGTTTTTTAAGTTCCTGTATATTCTGGTTATCAGTCCTTTGTCTGATGTATAGTTGGCAAATATTTTCTCCACTCTGTGGGTGTTCTCTTCAGTTTAGAGACATTTCTTTTGATGAACAGAAGCTTTTTAGTTTTATGAGGTCCCATTTATCTATGCTATCTCTTAGTTGCTGTGCTGCTGGGGTTCATTGAGAAAGTTCTTACCTATACCTACTAACTCCAGAGTATTTCCTACTCTTTCCTGTATCAACTTAGAGTTTGGGGTCTGATATTAAGATCCTTGATCCATTTTGAGTTAATTTGGTATAGGGTGATATACATGGATCTAGTTTCAGTTTTTTGCAGACTGCTAACCAGTTTTCCCAGCAGTTTTTGTTGAAGAGGCTGCTATTTCTCCATCGTAATTTTTTAGCTCCTTTGTCAAAGATAAGTTGGTTATAGTTGTGTGGCTTCATATCTGGGTCTCTATTCTGTTCCACTGGTCTTCATGTCTGTTTTTGTGCCAGTACATGCTGTTTTTATTGTTATTGCTTTGTAATATAGTTTGAAGTCAGGTATTGTGATACTCCTACATTGTTCTTTTGACTGAGTATTGCTTGGCTATTCGTGGCCTCTTGTGTTTCCATATAAATTAACAGTAGATTTTTCAATCTCTTTAATGAATGTCATTGGAATTTTGATGGGAATTGCATTAAACATGTAGATTACTTTTGGAGTATCGACATTTTTACTATGTTGATTCTACCAATCCATGAGCATGGGAGATCTCTCCACTTTCTATAGTCTTCCTCAATCTCTTTCTTCAGAAGTGTTAGTTTTCCTTGTAGAGGTCTTTCACATCTTTTGTTAGGTTTACACCTAGGTATTTGATTTTTTGAGGCTATGTAAATGGAATTGTTTTCATACATTCTTTTTAGTTTGTCATTATTAGTGTATAGAAATGCTAATGATTTTTCTATGTTGATTTTATATCCTGCTACCTTGCTATAGCTATTGATGATGTCTAGAAGCTTCTGAGTAGAGTTTTTGGGTCTTTAAGGTATAGGATCATGTCGTCTGCAAATGGGATATTTTGACAGTTTCTTTACCTATTTGTATTCCTTTTTATTCCTTCTTCTTGCCTAATTGCTCTGGCTAGGAATTCCAGTACTATGTTGAATAGGAGTGGAGATAGTGGGCATCCTTGTCTGGTTCCTGATTTTAGAGGGAATGGTTTTAATTTTTCTCCGTTAAGTATAATGCTGGCTGTAGGTTTGTCATATATAGCTTTTATAATGTTGAGGAACTTTCTTCTATTCCTAGTTTTCTTAGAGCTTTTATCATGAAATGGTGTTGGATCTTATCAAAGGCTTTTTCTGCATCTATTGAGATGATCAAGTGGTTTTTGTCTTTGCTTCTGTTAATGTGGTTTATTATTTATTGATTTTCATATGTTGAACCACCCTGCATCCTGGGATGAAGCCTACTTGGTCGTGGTGAATAATCTTTTTGATGTGTTGCTGAATTCGGTTTGCCATTATTTTGTTGAGGCTTTTTGCATCAATGTTCATTAAGGAGATTGGCCTATAGTTCTCCTTTTTGGAGGTGTCTTTGCCTGGTTTTGGGATAAGTGTAATACTGGCTTCATAAAATGTGTTTGGCAGTTTTCCTTCCTTTCTATTTCATGGAACAGTTTAAGGAGGGTTGGTATCAGTTCTTCTTTAAAAGTCTGATAGAATTCAGCAGAGAATCCATCAGGTCCTGGACTTTTCTTTTAGGGGAGACTCTTGATTCCTGCCTCAATTTCATTTTGTGTTATAGGTCTATTCAGGTGATTAATTCCCTCTTGGTTCAGTTTTGGATGCTCATATGTATCTAGAAATCTGTCCATTTCTTTTAGATTTTCAAATTTATTTGAATATAGGTTCTCAAAGTAGTCTCTGATGATTTCCTGGACTTCCATGGTGTTTTGTTATCTCCTTTTGCATTCCTATTCTACTAATTTGGGTTTTTTCTCTCCTCATTTTAGTCAGGTTTGCCAGGGGTCTTCGATCTTGTTTATTTTTCAAAGAACCAACTTTTTGTTCATTTTCTTTGTATGGTTTTTTTGGTTTCTATTTCGTTGATTTCAGCTCTTATTTTTATTATTTCTCTCCTTCTATTTGTTTTGGGATTTGCTTGTTCTTGTTTTTCTAGGAGTTTGAGATGTATCATTAGTCATTGATTTGGGATCTTTCAGTCTTTTTAATATATGCACTCATGGCTATAAACTTTCCTCTCAGGACTGCCTTAGCTGTGTCCCATAGGTTCCGGTAGGTTGTGTTTTCATTTTCATTGACTTCCAGGAACTTTTTAATTTCCTCTTTTATTTCATCGAATGATCATTTCATTAATGAGTTATTTAGTTTCCAGCTGTTTGCATGTTTTTGTCTTTACTTTTGTTGTTGAGTTCTACTTTTACTGCATTGTGATCAGATAGTATGCACGGTATTATTTTATTTTCTTATATTTGCTGAGGCTTGCTTTGTGCCTAGGATATGATCTATTTTGGAGAAGGTTCCATGGGCTGCTGAGAAGAATGTATATTGTGTAGAAGTTGGATGAAATGTTTGTAGACATCACTAGGTCATTGATCTATTGCATATTTTAGATCTTGGATTTCTTTATTGAGTTTTTTGTTTGGATGACCTATCTATTGATGATAATGGAGTGTTAAAGTCTCCCACAACCACTGTGTTGGGTTTATATATGCTTTTAGGTCTTTCAGGGTATGTTTGATGAAATTGGGTGCGTTGACATTGGGTGCACAGATTGATGATTATTATTTCCTTTTGGTCTATTTCCCCTTTTATTAGTATGGAATGTCCTTCTTTATCTCATTTGATCAATGTAGGTTTGAAGTCTACTTTGTCAGAGATAAGTATTGCTACTCCTGCCTGTTTTCGGGGCCATTGGCTTGGTAAATCTTCTTCCAGCCTTTCATCCTAAGCATATGCTTATTTCTGTCGGTGAGATGAGTCTCCTGTAAGCAACAAATTGTTGGATCTTCTTTTTTAATCCATTTTGTCAAACGGTGTGTTTTGATGGGTGAATTAAGTCCATTAACATTAAGCGTTAGTACTGATAGGTATGTGGTGATTCCTGCCATTTAGTTATCTTAGTTGTTTGAAGGTTTGATTGTGTGTACCTAACTTGATGTTACTCTCTACTGTCTTGCTTTTTCTTATCCTGTGGTTTGGTGCTGCCTGCCTTTTCATGGTTAAGTTGGGTGTCACAGCAGCAGTGCTGCTGCTCCTGCCGGCCGCCATGTTTGTTTACAGCTCACGTGGGAAG